AAAACAAACGATGTCTGACTTGCAAACTTACTGTTGTACAATACACTGTGCTATTGCGCAATACTTAGTAAGTCTGTTTTCAGGCTATATACAAAGAATTAGCAAAAAAAAATTGTGACCCCCAGTTTTTTTCTTTGGCCCTTTTTGGCCCCTAATTCTTGAACGGTTGGGACCATCGACCCCACAAACAATTCCAACCTTCCTTATGTGGTATTGAACCTTTTGGTTAAATTTCATAGAGATCCATACACTTAAACTAAAGTTATTGTCCGGAAACCAAATGTCTTCGGACGACGCTGACGCCGCCGACGACGACGTGATACCAATATACGACCGCAAACATTTTTTGCGGTCGTATAAAAACGCAAAAAAATGATAAAATCATCATCAAAGGGCAATAACTCTAATAATAAGTCGGCTGACGATTTCGATGATGAGACTTATTTGTAGAACTTGTCTTGCTGATCATTTTTTGCAATTTAAAGTTTCTCTCTATCCATTATAGTTTTCAAGATAATAGGCAACAAGAGGCTGTCAGAGTGACAGCAAACCGAATTTTCCTGCAGAGGTCAAACCCTGAACTATGAGCAAGTATGGACACTACATTTAAGCTTAAAACAGCTCTAAACTTGGATTGTGATTGAATATTTGACACAGCATAGGTTTGTGACACAAAATGAATGTGGTCAAAGAACTGAAATATTTGAAATTGGACATTTACCTATTATGATCCAATATCCAAAATCTAAGTACATATTAGAATCAGCATATCAAAGAAACCCAAGAATTCCATTTTTGATGAAATCAGACAAAAGTTTAATTTAGGACTCTTTGGACCTCAATGTGAACCAATTTGATAAAGGAGCCCACAATCCAAAATATCTCAATACATGGTTAGATTCAGCATTTCGAAGAACCCCATTTTGTTGAAAAGAAAGTTTAAATTTGGTCCCTGATTTGGACCAACTTGAAAACTGGGCCCAGAAATCTAATATTTAAATACAGGTTTAGATTCAGCATTTGAAAGAACCCTATATACATTTGATTTATGTTGAAATGAAACACAGGTTAATTTTATCCATGATATTTTCTGTGCAAAGGGAAATAACTCAAACTGGATAAAATTTTTATAAAATAAGATATGATGCAATTTTTTCCCAAAGGTCCTTTGTTAAACTAAGTCTCCTGCTGTCGGCCATCTCGGATGATGGACCGACTGCAAAGTAACAACACTTGGTCAGTACCTCATAAGGAACATTCATGCCATGTTTGGTTTTATTCCATTCAGTGGTTCTCTAAAAGAAGACATTTGTATGTATTTCCCATAGGTCCTTTGTTAAACTAAGTCCCCTGCTGTCGGCCATCTTGGATGATGGACAAACTGCAAAGTAACAACACTTGGTCAGCACCTCATAAGGGACATTCATGCCATGTTTGGTTTCATTCCATTCAGTGGTTCTCTAAAAGAAGACATTTGTATGTATTTCCCATAGGTCCTTTGTTAAACTAAGTCCCCTGCTGTCGGCCATCTTGGATGATGGACAAACTGCAAAGTAACAACACTTGGTCAGCACCTCATAAGGGACATTCATGCCATGTTTGGTTTCATTCCATTCAGTGGTTCTCTAAAAGAAGACATTTGTATGTATTTCCCATAGGGTCCTATGTTAAACTAAGTCCCCTGCTGGCGGCCATCTTGGATGATAGACCGACTGCAAAGTAACAACACTTGGTCATCATCTCATAAGGAACATTCATGCCATGTTTGGTTCCATTCCATTCAGTGGTTCTCTAAAAGAAGACATTTTTATGTATTTCCCATAGGGTCCTATGTTAAACTAAGTCCCCCGCTAGCGGCTATCTTGGATGATGGATCGGCTACAAAGTAACAACACATGGTCAGCACCTCATAAGGAACATTCATGCCATGTTTGTTTTTTCTTCCATTCAGTGGTTCTCTAAAAGAAGTCATTTGTATGCATTTCCCATAGGGTCCTTTGTTAAACTAAGTCCCCCGCTGACGGCCATCTTGGATGATGGATCGGCTACAAAGTAACAACACTTGGTGAGCACCTCATAAGGAACATTCATGCCATGTTTGGTTACATTCCATTCAGTGGTTCTCTAAAAGAAGTCATTTGTATGCATTTCCCATAGGGTCCTATGTTAAACTAAGTCCCCCGCTGGCGGCCATCTTGGATGATGGATCGGCTACAAAGTAACAACACTTGGTCAGCACCTCATAAGGAACATTCATGCCATGTTTGGTTTCATTCCATTCAGTGGTTCTCTAGAAGAAGTTCAAAATGTAATAAAATGCTCCGCAGGGCGCAGCTTGATACGACCGCAGAGGTCGAACCCTGAACAGTTGGGGCAAGTATGGACACAACATTCAAGCTTGATACAGCTTTGCATTTGGATTGTGATTAAATATTTGACACAGCATAGGTTTCTGACACAGAATGAATGTGGTCTAAGAACTTAAAAAATTTAAATTGGACATTCACCTATTATGGTCAAATATCCAAAATCTAAATACATGGTTAGATTCGGCATATCAAAGAACCCCAAGAATTCAATTTTTGATGAAATCAAACAAAGTTTAATTTTGGACCCTTTTGACCTCAATGTGGACAAAGTTGATAACGGGGCCCAAAAATCAAAAATCTAAATACATGGTTAGATTCAACATATCAAAGAACCCCGTATATTCAATTTTTGTTGAAATCAAACAAAGTTTAATTTTGGACCTCGATTTGGACCAACTTGAAAACTGGGTCCATAATCAAAAATCTAAATACATGTTTAGATTCAGCATATCAAAGAACCCTAAGAATTCAATTTTTGTTAAAATCAAACTAAGTTTAATTTTGAACCTTAATGTAGACCAATTTGAAAACGGTACCAAAAATTAAGAATCTAAATACACGGTTAGATTCGGCATATCAAAGAACCCCAATAATTCAATTTTTGATGAAATCAAACAAAGTTTAATTTTGGACCCTTTGGACCTCAATGTAGACCAATTTAAAAACGGGGCCCAAAATCCAAAAACTAAATAAACGGTTAGATTCAGCATATTAAAGAACTCCAAGAATTCAAGAATAAAACCCCATTGAAATTGGTCAAGAAATAAGCAATTTATACGAAGTATCTTCTTTTGCACAACACTGTGCAATTAAATATTTCTTGCTATTGCGCAATACTGTACAATTGACAATTTCTTGCTATTGCACAATATTGTGCTATTGGATATTTTTTGCTATTGCGCAATACTGTGCAATTGAAGATTTCTTGCTATTGCGCAATACTGTGCAATTGAAGATTTCTTGCTATTGTGCAATACTGTGCAATTGAAAATTTCTTGCTATTGCACAATACTTATTATATAATAATTTACACATCCTGTTTGGTGTGTATCTCCTTCCATACCATTATTATTTGCTTTTAAATATAAATCAGAAATAACTAACTTAAAATGGAAAATTTTAAAAGAAAAAAAAAGGAAAAAAAGAAAAAAAAGGAAAAATAAAAAAATCCCTCCCCCCAATTTTTTTTAACCCCCTTATGATTCATCACCCCCAAACTCAATCCCAGCCTTCCCTTTGTGGTATGGTACCTTGCAGTACAATTTCAGAGAGATCCATACACTTGAACACAAGTTATTGTCTGGAAACTAGAAAAATGTGTTTTTTGGCCCCTTTTTGGCCCTAAATTCCTAAACGTTTAGGGCAATTACCCCCAAACTCAAACCCAGCTTTCCCTTTGTGATATGAAACCTTGTAGTACAATTTCAGAGAGAGATCCATACACTTGAACACAAGTTATTGTCTGGAAACTAGAAAAATGCTTATTTTTGGCCCCTTTTTGGCCCCTTATTCCTAAACGTTTCGGCAATTACCCCCAAACTCAATTCCAGCTTTCCCTTTGTGATATGGAACCTTGTAGTACAATTTCAGAAAGATTCATATACTTACACACAAGTTATTGTCATGAAACTAGAAAAATGCTTGTTTTTTGCCCCTTTTTTGGCCCCTAATTCCTAAAATTTTGAGGCAATTACCCCCAAAATCAATCCCAGCATTCCTTTTGTGATATGGAACTTTGTGGTACAATGTCAGAGAGATCCATACACTAACACACAAGTTATGTCTGGAAGTTACAAAAATGCTTATTTTTGGCCCCTAATTCCTTTACTGTTGGTACCATGACCCCCAAAATCAATCCCAACCTTCCTTTTGTGGATTCCTTTACTGTTGGTACCATGACCCCCAAAATCAATCCCAACCTTCCTTTTGTGGTATTGAACCTTGTGGTAAAATTTCATAGAGATCCATTCACTTAAACTAAAGTTAGAATGCGAAAACCAATGTGTCTTCGGACGACGCCGGACGACGCCGGACGACGACGACGACGACGACGACGCCAACGTCATACCAATATACGACCACAAAAATTTTTTTGCGGTCGTATAAAAAGTTAACGCCGACGACGGACGACGGACGCCAAGTGATGAGAAAAGCTCACTTGGCCCTTCGGGCCAGGTGAGCTAAAAATGCAAAAAGGAGATGTGTCGTTAATTGCATTAAGAACCAACAATAATTCACAAAAAGGATAATGCCATTCACGAATAACGAATGCAACAAAAGAGAGGCGGAAGATTGTACCAATGGCATATTCAAATTCGTAAGTTGAAAACAAACTGACAACATCATGACAAAAACACAAAAAACGACCAAAAGATACAACAACAGTCTACACAGCACGGCATAGAAAACTAAAGATTGAGCAACAAGAACCACATAAAAAAAAAACTCTAAGTGCTCCGGAAGAGTAAGTAGATCCTTCTCCACAAATAGCACCCATCGTATTGGCTATGTAAGTACAAATTAAGTGATAAATCTAATTTGGTAGGTCACATTCAAGGAAAAGAGGACACGAAACAACACTCTAAGCGGAATAACTCTGGTTTTGGATTTTAGATTAACAAGCTAAAGTAGTTTCAATATGAACATGAAAATTTTAATACAAAATGAATATGTTGATGCATGGAATAAGTTCGAGTGTTCTGTCCTTTTGTTTCACTTGCAGGTACAATCCGATTTACATTTACACGTTGAAGGTCCTGTACATCCTGCTTCACACGCACAGCTACCTGAAAGATGGAACACAGTTTTCATTAATTTGACAGTTTTATTATGAAATAGACACTGCAACTTCAGAGAAATTTGTTTTCGTTTGCACCTCTTTATATACAATAGAAGAAGAAGATCTTTTATTTCCATTAAATGGGTTCACAAAAAGCATAACACGGTATTAAATCAATGTCAGAAAAATATCAACTTTTTTAAGTGAGGCTTAAACTTCTACTGTTTTGTGCCGAAAACAAAAAGAGTTGATATTTGTCTGACATTGACTTAATTTTGTTTTTATACTCTAGCTAAAAGTGACTACAAAAAGTTATGCAAATGCAAACAAGAATAAAATGCTCCGCTGGGGCGCAGCTTGATACGACCGCAGAGGTCGAACCCTGAACAGTTGGGGCAAGTATGGACACAACATTCAAGCTTGATACAGCACTGAATTTGGATTGTAATTAAATATTTGACACAGCATAGGTTTCTGACACAGAATGAAAGTGGTCTAAGAACTTAAAAATTTTCAATTTACCTATTCATACATGTGATGGACTGTGAAACTCAGATCAGGAGATTGGGAAATTTTGGTCAGGAGATTAGGACTCAGATCAGGAGGTTTTTAATCGACATTAATTTTGTTGTAAATGTAACCGTGTGCTGTAAAAATGGTCTTTTAAAGTGTGTTTTCTTCAACTTTCCAACCAATTTATTATGTTTATAGTACCCTTGTACTTATAAAGTTTCTCCATCTTTATATTCTACATGTTCAATCTAACATTGTTTTTTTCCAGCATGTTCTTTAAATTTTTTACTTCATATTCTATAAAACAATCATTGCAACCAGAACATTTGTTTAGCTGTCTGCAAATAGTTTTTATTTTTTTTTTTTTCTCTTGCAAATAGTTTTTATTTGCAAACTCAGAAATTCATTCTACCTGTAAAGTTAGGGTCATAGTTATTATATAAATTTCAATTTAAGCCTTAAAAGGAAGTATAGAATCCTCAAATAATTTTCAAATTATTATTTTTTTATTTGTCCTAAGACATTTAAAATCATTTAATAACCATCCTTTTATGATTATTTGTTCAATTTATATTTTATTTATATTCTTTTAAAAATTTTCATTATTAAAAGGAAAGTAACTTAAAACAGGATAAATCAAGGGAAGTAACCCAATAAATACACAGTTTTTGTTACACAACGGCAGTTAGCCTGAGGTAAAAATCGTTGCTTACCAGTATGTTTGACACCCAAGCTGACAAGTGAAGCCATATAATTATGCATGTTAATTGATTTACAGGTAAAATATAACTTCAGGTAATGTCAGTTACACCAGATGCCTGAGATGTTATGTTGGGCAGAAATTTTTCATTCATGAAAAATTTCATACACGGGATTTTTTCAACGGGAGGGGGGGAGGAGACCCCTGAAAACGGGATTATTGTACTCCCGTCGGGAGGTTCACATGTATGCCTATTCAAACCATATCATTATTATTTGCTTTTATATATAAATCAGAAATAACCAATTTAAAATGGAAAATGTTAAAGAAAAAAAAGGAAAAAAAAAATCCCCCCCCCCCAATTTTTTGAACCCCCTTATGATTCATCGCCCCCAAACTCAATCCCAGCTTTCCCTTTGTGGTATGGTACCTTGCAGTACAATTTCAGAGAGATTCATACACTTGAACACAAGTTATTGTCTGGAAACTAGAAAAATGCTTGTTTTTTGGCCCCTTTTTGGCCCCAAATTCCTAAACGTTTAGGGCAATTACCCCCAAACTCAATTCCAGCTTTCCCTTTGTGATATGGAACCTTGCAGTACAATTTCATAAAGATCCATACACTTACACACAAGTTATTGTCCTGAAACTAGAAAAATGCATGTTTTTTTTTTGCCCTTTTATGGCCCCTAATTACTAAAATTTTGAGGGAAAACCCCAAAAATCAATCCCAGCCTTCCCTTTGTGATATGGAACCTTGTAGTACAATTTCATAAAGATCCATACACTTACAAACAAGTTATTGTCATGAAACTAGAAAAATGCTTGTTTTTTGCCCCTTTTTTGCCCCTAATTCCTAAAATTTGGAGACAATTACCCCCAAAATCAATCCCAGCATTCCCTTTGTGATATGGAACCTTGTGGTACAATGTCAGAGAGATCCATACACTTGCACACAAGTTATGTCTGGAAGTTACAAAAATGCTTATTTTTGGCCCCTTTTGGCCCCTAATTCCTTAACTGTTAGTACCATAACCCCCAAAATCAATCCCCACCTTCCTTTTGTGGTATTGAACCTTATGGTAAAATTTCAATGAGATCCATTCACTTAAACTAAAGTTAGAGTGCGAAAACTAATGTGTATTCGGACGACGACGCCGGACGACGACGACGACGACGACGACGACGACGACGCCAACGTCATACCAATATACGACCACAAAATTTTGTTTGCGGTCGTATAAAAATAAAACGTATTGTTCATCCCTTAACGAACCCCAAATTGTGAAGAAAAAGTGACGTGGCATGAAATCGATATTGCACGAAATATCCCTTTGATACTATATTTTGTAGATAAAGACAACTGGAAGTGTTATAGCTGCAATGTAAAAATCCGTAAACACATTTTTCAGCTGGATGAAAAGACGTTCAATTTAGAATGGACAGGTGAAATGTATTTTTCGAGAGCGTATATAGTTATCTATAATAATGATTTAGTTTTTGAAAGCTTCAGGTCAATTTAAATTTATATCTTAATAAACAGCTGCGCCAAGAGCGCATGATACGCCCGTCGTATTTTTTCAATAACTTCTCAATGTCATATCAGAAATTTGTGAAAATCTAAAGGGAGGTTATCTTAATTGATATAAACCAGTCACCAAAGTTAAATGAAAACTGCTCAAAGCACTTTAAAGGTATTGTCCGAAAACTAGAAAATCACCCCTTTTTTATGAATGAAATCCCATAACTCGGAAGTGTAAAATCTAAAACTTATAAAAATTAAAAGGTAGCTTACATCAATAGATATAAACAATTTTCCAAAGTTTCATGAGAACTGCTGAAAGCATTTTTGAGTTATTGTCCGAAAACTGGAAAATCCCCCTTTTTTTAATGAATACAACTCCATAACTCGGAAACATAAAATCTAAAATTTATAAAAATCAAAAGGGAGCTCATGTTAATAGATATGAACAATTGACCAAAGTTTCTTGCAAATTGGTGAAAGCATTTTTGAGTTATTGTCCGAAAACTGGAAAATCCCCCCTTTTTAATGAATAAAACCCCATAACTCAGAAACGTAAAATCTAAATTTTATAAAAAAAAACGAAAGAGAGCTCACATCAATATATGATATGAACAATTCACCAAAGTTTTCATCAAATTGGTTGAAGCGTTTTTGAGTTAATGTCCGACATGTTGACGACGGACGGACGGACGGACGGACGGACGGACGGACGGACGGACGGACGGACAACGGTATACTATAATACGTCCCGTGAACGGACGTATAAAAAGAAACAATTTCATTCACTCCCCAAAACCACTCGCCAATCCACAATCTAAGTCATACCAAAGTTGTGTTAGAGAAAACTAGATATCAATTTCTTATTATTTTACCTTTGAATAAATAACTGACCGTTATATTACCAATATAAATTATACCATATGTGTTTGTATACATGAAAATAGGAAGGTAAACTTACCTAAACACTTGCAAACTACTTTACATCCGGAACATTTACAGCCACCTGCACACTTGCAGGCGTCACCACAGCGACAACCTTCACCGTTGCAGCCAGTGCCACACATACAAACATTTGCTACAAACAATCAAAAAACAAACTAAAAGTTCTGACACTGTACAGTTTGACATTTCTTTTTTCATGAGAAATCACTAAAGACAAATTTAGTATTTTGATTATAATAAATGAGAAATAATATCAGCCGCATGGACCATGAAATTCCGAATGCAGCATTAGCGGTGATAATATGTAATTGATTATTCACACCATTTCCTGTTTTCAATTGTCGGTAAAAATCAATACGTCATTTTAAAGTATATTCTTTCGAGTTACATGTCGAAAAGTAAATAAATGTTGAGCTATGTATATATACTGCCTCGTTATAAAATAAAATTTAATAGAAGTAACGTTACGTTCAGAAAAGATTTCACTATTATTTGAATCAATATAATAGTAATTTAACATTTACCTGCTTTAGCCTGAAACAAGGTAATATTTTTAAAAGGCCCCTATCATTTTGCATTATATCATTGTGTAAAATAGAAGTTAAAAGTTTAAAGAAGCAAACAATGATTTGAAAAAGGGGGAGGGCACTGGTAAATCACATTGTAACGTGTAAATCGATTTATATTATCATTAAAATGTGAGCACTAGTAAATCGTTGAATGGATACACACAAACAATCAGCATAAAATTTAAATTTTGAACATGACTTTGTACTTACTTTCGATGCAGTTACAAGGTCCTGGCATTTTTAATTCGTCGTAGTATCTCTAATAATTTTAATATTTGTGCTTTCTGATATATATATATATTGATTTACAATCGTGTGAAGACCCGTGTGCAAAACAGATATGTCTGTTTATATGTCTGTTTATATGTTCGTGTGAAAATCCGTGTGCAAATTTGAGGTTCGACATAGTATGTTGCGTCTCAACATCATCTATACAACTAATTATGTGTTGTCAGCTGTTGGTGAATTCAATCAAGGCATAATTGTTTGTGTTTATGAAATATTATTATCACATATAAACACAGTTTGATATTGATTTCTCGTTATTTCATACAAAGTACAGGTATGTCGAGTAACATGTCAACCCTTTTGAAAGCCTCATCATATTTACACCGGAAATAAAAAGTTCCAGTTTAAACCCGATTATGTCAGATGATGTCATGTTAAATTCACACCTACAATTATTTATAATTTCTGGCAACCTTCCAACGTAAGGACAATCAACAGTTAACTATGTCAACTGACTACTCAGACTGACCAAGATATCTCGAGTGTGATATATTGTACCCATTAAGTAAACATGATTGATAAATACGTAAACAATCCTTTTAAAGGAAATGTTTGGTATGTATACAGGAACCCAGCAAAAAAACGTAAATTTTAAATACCAAAACGGAAAACAATCGCTTGATAATGTAAGCGTCTGGTAACTTCCATGATTAGGAAATTTCATAGTGGGTAAGGCTTTGAAACGTGGAAAATGCGAGGTTCGTCTCATTGCAAGTTGTACAATTTAGTTTAGTAGGTTTTGTTAAAATTGAAACATAAAAGAGAAATCAATAAAGACGGGTAACTCTATGGTAGATTTTGAAAGAAAAACCTTAAAGCATTACTCAATCTGTTTTCTTTGAAAATACTATGCTGTTGGTAAGAAAACTACTCAATTCAAATCATATCCGTAATTAACATCTACATTTAAATTATCAACTTTTTATCGTGTTTAGATTTTGAGAATTTGCAATTTCATTATAAAAGTATGATCAAGTGATCTTCTGCAAAGTCGGCCCATTGAAAGTTAGAGATGCGAAATTTTACTTTCATAAAACTATTTAGTTTTTAAATTATAGAGATTGAATATACCGTTTTTCATATGAATTGAAACACATACTATTAGTCATTTTAATTTTTAATACACAAAATTATTAGAGAAACTGACAACAGAATCTATTGCACTAGATATGAGGTTGTGAGTTCGAACACCGCTCGTGGCAGGTACGTTCGACTCAGAAAACTGCCTACCCTTCCGGAGCACCTGAGATCACCCCGGTTTTTTGCGGGATGCGTGTTGCTTTAGTTTCTATGTTGGTTTTTGTGTACTGTTGTTTGTCTTTTGGTCGCTTTTCGTTTTTTTTCATGGCGTTGGCAGTTTGATTTCTATTTATGAGTTTGAACATCCCCTTTTCCCACCGGTTTTCGATTCTCTCTGGTCTCTACTGCTACCTCCATCATAAAAATCAGGCCGCCTTGATATAGCCAAGATGGGAACTGAATTGACTTAGATGCATAACACGACATGACGTGATTGTGAACCAAACAAAATTTTGAAAATATTAGTTCAACTTCGTTATAAACAACTCTTGTTCTTTTAAACACCAACGCTTAAAAGTAACTCTCAATATAAAAATAAGGAGATGTGGTATGATTGCCAGTGAGACAGCTATCCACCAAAGTTCAAATGAAGCAAATGTAAGCAATTATAGGCAACCGTACGGTCTTCAACAATGAGAAAAACCCATACCGTACGGTCTTCAACAATGAGATAAACCATACCGTACGGTCGGCTATAAAGGGCCCCGACATGAAAAATATGATTCAGAAACAATTCAATTGAGAAAACTAACGGCCTAATTTATAACAAAACAATTTACGTAAAACAAATATGACAGACATGAACCAACGACAACAACTGAACTACAGGCTCCTGACTTGGGACAGGCACATACAAAATGTGGCTCAGACTGGTAGGGAACATGAATTTTATCGGAATCATTGTATCGATAGTTGGTACATAAAGATGGAAACTTTACAATGAGAAAATTTGATTTTTTTTTTTTTATATCATTTTTATCACAAATTGGCGAGAGCAGGAGCCTAATAAGTATGTTGTATTTAGTTAAACTGGTGATAGTTGTTCAGATGTTCGGAAATTTGCATTGACTACCTACGTGTAAGGGTAATAAGCAAACTATACATGTAACCAGGAGAAATTTTTTGGTGGTTTTCATAAAAAAAGATTGAGCTTTAATTGTTTTCAAATCAAATACAAATTTGTTTATGTATATGCAATCTTCAACACATGCCCTTAGAGGTCGGTCCAATTTCCCTCCCCCTGTATTTGTTTACGTATATGAAATCTCCCACACATGCCCTATAGAGGTCGGTCCAATATCCCCTGTATTTGTTTACGTATATACAATCTCCCACACATGCCCTTTAGAGGTCGGTCCAATTTCCCCTGTATTTGTTTACGTATATGCAATCTCCCACACATGCCCCATAGAGGTCGGTCTAATTTCCGCTGTATTTGTTTACGTATATGCAATCTCCCACACATGCACTATAGAGGTCGGTCCAATTCCCCCTGTATTTGTTTACGTATATGCAATCTCCCACACGTGCCCTATAGAGGTCGGTCCAATTTCTCCTGTATTTGTTTACGTATATTCAATCTCCCACACATGCCCTATAGAGGTCGGTCCAATTTCCCCCGTATTTGTTTACGTATATGAAATCTCCCACACATGCCCTATAGAGGTCGGTCCAATTTCCCCTGTATTTGTTTACGTATATGCAATCTCCCACACATGCCCTATAGAGGTCGGTCCAATTTCCCCTGTATTTGTTTCAATCACAAGGTCAAAATCTAAAAATAGTTAAAACCTTCTGATGATGGAGATGAAAAAGAGTCTATATGATGCTGTCACACATATTCCCAACAATTTTACATAATATTTCAAATAGATAAAAATCAAATTCAGCGATCCTGATTCAGCTGATGAAGACAATATTGCAATTCTGACATGCTTTTGTAAAATTTTGCATCGAAAGACGTATCTTACCAAAAATAATTACATGTATACAAAAATCTATTTTATAGCTTTACTTACCACAGAATTTTGGTTGTTGTTAAGGATATCCTGCTTATATCTTTTTTGGATAAAACTAAAATTTAGTCAAATCTGTCAAATTTGCACTTTCGAGCCATCTTGAGGCGTTTTATAACTTGCTCACGTGTTAAAAATTACACCAAAATTTTGTTAAAACCTTTTAAAATATATATTTCAGTCTAATATATTTTGAATCGAAGAAAAGATTGGAGGATAAAGAAAAACCATGGCGGCTTTTGTATTTTGAATAAATTAATCAATGAACTATAATCATATTTATAGAGAAGATGAAGGATAGAAATGTTATCCACGTGGTAATAAAACTTACAAAGTATTATTGTAATGCATATTCTGTATGCAAATATAAATGAGGGTATGGAAGGGGGTCCTTCAATTCTGTATTCTTTAAATTTTTAAGCCATTTTTCTCTAATCTTTATAAATTTTGCCCATTTTTTCTATCCTTTAAAAATTTTGTCCATTTTTCTCTATTCTTTTTATTTAAACACCCTATTATTCTCTTTTTTTTTTCCCCATTTTTATCTATTTTTTATTTTTTGGCCCATTTTTTTTTTTTTTGCAATATTGACCCATTATTCTCTATTCTTTAAACCCCGACAAGAGCCTCGTATATATGGATTGATTTAACCACTTAAATATTAATTAGCATATTAAATTAACTGCGAAGGTTTTATGGTTACAAAATATTTCTTCTGTGCATGCTCTTTTCATGTTTAGATGCAAATTTCGCTGTTGCGTGTAATGTCCGCTCTTCTAATTTTAATTGTTAAAGTTCAACAATTCTGTAATGAAGATTGGAATGAGTCAAATTTATTTATATAAGAAAATTAGGTTCCAAGTTTCCTGATATGATTGTCTTAATCTGTTCATGACGCGAAGCATCTAGTATGTTTGCATTGATGCAAATGAAAAAATTACGAAATTTAAGCGTTTCTAAACCACAACTTTTAAAAATCGGTATGATTTAGAGTTTGACATATTGGGTAAACTATATTGCCCTTCAGATTTTTTTAAGTATTTTTTGTCGTTGGGTTGTTGTGTCGTATACACCAGATATCCTTAAATTTATATGAGAAAATAGTGTGTGCACAGAAACATGTGTAAAGAATAAGACACCAACCATGTTATTAGTGTAAAGGCCAATTTCCTGTTTAGAATTGTAACAAATTTCGTTTTGCAAATTTATTGATTTTTGATGAAACTTACCTAAGTACATCGGTTACTTTCCCCTGTATATATATTTCCCTGAAAACTGAGAATGGGTCACGACAATTTTGAGCCCTTTAATTTTGAATTATTTAGAAATATCAGAGTCTAACAAATAAGGTACGTTATTTTCTACATATATTCTATGCATTTTGTGATAATATGAAAGTAAATTTAGCTATTTCAATGCCATTAATATGAACTTGAGACAATGACAAAATATTGCCAATCGGATAATTGTTTACTTTCGAAATATGAACTTTATTCATAACTTGTGTAAATCCTAGATGTTGCAATGACTGTTTTCTATATTTTCACACCTATGTTTATATTTTTGTGTATGTTTTGAACATTGTAATTGGTACAAATCTCATGATGATTGCATTTTCTTTGTAGTCAATCTCATCTCACCTGTTTATACTTTGGATCCAGTAACTTGGAATATTTTTGGAATAAACTTGAGGTGTGAATTGTGTTATATTCATTTCGACTGATATTAGCGGGATGTATTCATTGACTTATTTGACGAATATGAGCACGCCAGAAGAAGTCGACTCAATTATAGAATCAGATCTGATTTTGAAAAGTGTGGACACAGAAATAAGTGGACAACAAATAAGTTCCGAAACAATTATGGATGAGAACGTCAAAACAGAAACGACAGATAAAATGGAAGAACAGAAAACCCTTGAGGCAGTAGGCGGGGTTAGGCCGAGAAAGTATACGGACAAAGGAAAAGAATTTAGCGAAGGACAAATAGCTCAGTGTTTTAATGGATTAAAGGTGTTAAGTGAAAAAATAATCAGAATGATATCTGACAAAGAACACAACGAGGCAATACGAGTGAACTATAGTAATTGGATGCAAGACTATGAACAGTTTCTTATAAAGCATCAAACACATTTTAGTAGATTAAAAGAGACAGAACAAGAAGAGTACATGCAGATTCATACTCCTAGAGATGTCTTTCTAATGAACTGTAAAAGTGAAATACAACAAAATATTAATTCAAACCCTGTCCAAAGACAAGAAAGTGCTAGAGGCAAATCAGTAAGAAGCGCGGGCAGCTCGTCAGTATCTTCAAAACGACTAGAAGTTGAGGAAAAAAGGATCGAGCTAGAGGCAAAAAGACAAGCAATGAAACGGAAGCGAGAACTTGAAATGGCGAAAAAGTCATTACAGTTAGATGAAGATGAACTTCAAATGCAAACCGAAATAGCTGTCGCTGATGCAAAAGCAATGATATACGACAAGTTCGAAAGAGGTGAAATTGACGGCGTTGAATTGCCGAAAGTAAAACTTGAAAACATAGAATCTATGCCGAAACCTTTACAGGACAAAGTGCAGTCGACTGTCGAGTCAAAGACATTAAACCCTGTGGCAAAAGCATTTCAACCAGCGAAGGAGAAAATGGCCAAAGTAAAGGACACTGGTAAATTGGATTTTATGAAGCTGCCACCTGTCGGAATGACAGAAAACACTACAGTTCCAAAACAGAGTGTTCATGTACATTTACCATCATACAGACCAACCCAAAGTGACGATGTAACATCTGCGCCGATTCAAAACTTGGCTTGTAATTCTAACAGTAGTGCTGAAACAGCTTTTCAAAGTATGGTGCAGCATTTGAGAAAACCGACACCGGAAATAAGGAAATTTAATGGAAATCCTCTGGAATATAGGAAGTTTCTCCGACAATTCGAAGCTAAGGTTGTTATGAACTGTGAACATGACGATGAAAAGATGAACTATCTTGAGCAACTAACATATGGAGAAGCGCATAAGGTAGTATCAAGTTACAGTCACTTGCCAGGTAATAGAGCATATCAGGCGTCAATGCGTCATCTTGAAGAGCGATATGGGGATACAGACGTGATGGCGTCGGCCTTTATTAAAAAGGCTTTGGATTGGCCAAGTATTAAATCAGGAGATATTAAATCGTTGGACGAATTTGCGTTGTTTTTGGTTGAATGTCAATACGGCACAGAGAGTATGGAAGCCGGAAATGTTTTAGAGTACTCTGAAAATATTAAACGTCTGATGTCAAAATTGCCCTTTCATATGCACGATCGATGGAGAAATGTTGTATATCGTTTAAAGGAATTGCACAAAACAGTAAAGTTTATTGACTTTGTGAACTTTGTTAAAACGGAAGCGAAAAAGGCAACGGATCCGACCTATGGTAACATCGCCATGAATTATTCGAATTCTCGTAGCACAAATCAACGACAACATGGACAAAGAGTTTCAAACGTCTGTGATGCGGCAAAGAATACTAGTACTGAAATACACTGTTCCTACTGTAACGGAACACATGAATTAGGCAATTGTAAACGACTTATTGCTCGTCCACGGGAAGACCGAATCACTTACTTGAAAAGTAAAGGACATTGCTTTGGGTGTTTGAGAAAGGGCCATATGAGTAACAAGTGTAAAAAAAGACTCAAATGCTCAATCTGCGGGCGACTACATCCAACTATTCTTCATAATGACAATCAATCAAATAAACCGCCATCGTCACAGCAAGATTCATTTAGTAAAAATGATGATTCTCAAAAATCCGAAAATCATGAAAGCACACAGCAACTTGAACAAGTGGTTAATAGCTCTACTTGTAGTGATAGAGGGGCTGGCGATGTTACTTGTGCTATGGCGATAATACCTGTGCGAGTTAAATTGAACAATAAATCCCAGAGTGTCAAGACTTATGCCTTCTTCGACTCAGGTAGTAGCATAACCTTTTGCAGTGATAAACTAATGCGTCAACTTGGAGCCAATGGTAAGAAAACTCAGATTACCATCAATACTATGGGAAACACACAAACTCTAAATACATATGCGATTAATGGTCTACAAGTGTCAAGTTTGTCAATGGAACACGTGGTTGATTTGCCAAAGGTGTATACTAAGGTCAACATGCCTGTATCAAAGGAACATATTCCCACTCCGCAAGAAATTGAGAAATGGACTCATTTAGATTCGGTTGATATCCCAGAGATAGATGCGGACATAGGAATTATGATTGGCAACAACGTTCCGGATGCATTTACGCCATTCGATGTGGCAACAGGGCCGAGTGGTTCTCCACATGCAACGAAAACGAGACTAGGATGGATACTTTGGAACGTTTTACGTGAAACACAAGGAAATAGTTTTGAGGTTAATAGAGTGCACCTCCAGAGAGAAGGAATCGATGAAACACAACTTGACATTTTAATGCAAAGTATTAATTTTGATTTTCCAGAAAGGATAATAGAGGACAAGAAAGAAAATTCAGTGGAGGACAACATGTTTATGCGACAAGTTGAGAAATCAATCAAACTTGATGAAGATGGTCATTATTGTATTGGTTTACCGTTCAGAAACAATGAAGTATATTTTCCAAATAACTCGGAACAATGTTTGCAGAGACTGAATTCGTTAAAGAGGAAGTTATTGAAAAATCCTCGTTTTAAGCAGGATTATCTGAAATTTATGGACAAGATTATTGAAAGAGGTTACGCAGAACCTGTTCCTTCCGATGACTTGGATAGAAATGACGGAAAGGTTTGGTACCTACCCCATCATGGTGTGTACCACCCCCAAAAGCCAGAAAAGATTCGCGTCGTTTTCGATTGCTCTGCAAGAAATCTAGGTGTTTCTTTGAACAATGAATTGTTACAAGGCCCGAATTTAGCAAATAATCTTTTAGGCGTTCTGATGCGATTTAGGCAAGACAAGATTGCAGTGTTAGGCGATATTGAATCCATGTTTTATCAAGTCAAAGTACCAACAAATAACAGAGACTGTTTGCGATTCTATTGGTGGAAGAATGGAAACATAGATGAAAACCCAACAGAATATAGAATGACTGTGCATTTATTTGGAGCAACATCTTCGCCTAGTTGTTGCAACTACGCACTTCAGTACACTGCAGAAAAGTTCAAAGACGAATTTGACACTAAGGTGACAGATACTGTGAATAAAAACATGTACGTTGATGACTGTTTGTCGTCAGTTGATGAAGTGGAAAAGGCAGTTTCACTTATAAAGAACGTTACTAAACTGTGTAGTAAAGGAGGTTTTAATTTGACTAAATGGATGACAAACAATCAAACTGTTCTGGAATCTGTACCTGAAAAGGATCGTAGTAAGAGGTCACATGAATGGAGTTTAAGCAACGAAAGTGGAGTCGAACGCGCTTTAGGCGTTTATTGGTTCGTAAATGAAGATAAACTTGGTTTTCACATCAACATGAAACATAAACCACAGACTAGACGTGGAATTCTTAGTGTAGTTAGTTCTGTCTATGATCCTATTGGAATCGCGTCTCCCTTTGTGTTATCTGCGAAATCCATTCTTCAAAGTCTTTGTAAAAGGGGCATAGGATGGGACGAAGAGATCCCCGACAATGAGCTTACCAAATGGAATAAATGGCTTAATCAACTAGAACAACTGGAAGGTATCAAAGTCGATAGGTGTTACAAACCTCAAAGTTTCAAGACTGTTGTTTCTTGCCAATTACATTGCTTTGCGGACGCAAGTGATTTAGGTTATGGATCCGTCTTTTACCTTAGATTAGTCGATGAAGAGGGAAATATTCAATGCTCGTTCGTATTAGGAAAATCGAGAGTGGCACCGTTGAAAACGGTTACAATTCCTAGAATGGAGCTGACAGCTGCTACAACTGCGGTGAAACTTTGTCGTATGATTACAAAGGAACTTGAATATACAATTGATGAAATTCATTACTGGACAGACAGTATGTCCGTACTCAGATACATTGCGAACACAAAAACACGTTTTAACACTTTTGTAGCCAATCGTTTGGCAGTGATTCAAGATGCAACTAATATTGACCAATGGCATTATGTTGATACGAAACAGAATCCAGCAGATTTAGCCAGTAGAGGAACTTCGATTGATAAATTCCGTTCGTGTATGCAATGGTTCAATGGTCCAGAGTTCTTGTGGAAAGCCGTGGAATCGTGGCAAGATAATAGCGCAAGCACGACGTTAGACTTAAGCGTTTCAGATGACCTTGAGATTAAGGGTGTCGGCACGGTTTGTGCTGTCAAGCCAGAATCTACTTTTGGACTTGATCGCTTAATTGAACACTTTTCTGATTTAAAAAAGTTGATTAAGGTAGTTGCCTTATTTATCCGTGCTATTGACAAGTATAAAACTAAACACAAGTTATCACTTGAAAGCGTTAGAAACGAGAAATCTACTGGAAAGAAGATCGACATGATTTCAACTGAAATGATTGTCAGAGCAGAGAAAGTACTTTTAGCGTATATTCATAGAAAACATTTTATAGACGAAATAGAAGTGTTACAGAAGCAACAGATAGGCAATATTGTAAAACATCTCAAATCTTCATCGAAACTAAGGAAGCTTGATCCATTTTTGGACGAAGAAGGATTGTTAAGAGTAGGTGGTCGGTTGGAACGCTCAGATATTCAGTACGATGCAATGCACCCAATCATTCTACCGAAGGATTCAACAGTGTCAAAGCTTATAATCGAAAACCTTCATCGTTCTATTGGACACTTAGGAAGGAATTCAATGTTGGCTGTTCTTAGACAACATTATTGGATCTTAGGTGCTAATGCGATTATAAAGACATTAATTGCCAAATGTGTACTATGTAGGAAGTATCAAGGTGCTTTAGGCAAACAGAAAATGGCAAGCCTTCCTGAGGAATGTTTGAAGGCAGATGATCCGCCGTTTACAAGAATCGGTATAGATTTCTTTGGACCGTTCGAAATAAAGCAAGGCAGAAGTGTTGTGAAGAGATATGGTGTGATTTTTACATGCTTGAATATCAGAGCAATTCATTTGGAGTTAGCACATTCGCTCGACACTGACTCATGTATAAATGCTATAAGACGATTTATAGCGAGACGAGGAGTACCTGAATTCATTAGGACAGATAATGGTACAAATTTAGTGGGTTCAGAGAGGGAACTCAGAGAAGAGATAAATCGATGGAATATAAATCGAATGCAGGAATTTATGATACAAAGACATATTCAATGGGAATTTAATCCTCCTTCTGCATCACATTTTGGAGGCGTTTGGGAGCGTCTGATAAGATCTGTGCGAAAGGTTCTTTTTTCGATCATGCATGAACAGAACATTCGATTGACTGATGAAGGTCTTATGACTCTATTCTGCGAAGTAGAAGGCATTCTTAATGGAAGACCGATCACAGAAGCGTCAAACAGTATTACAGACTTGAAAGTATTGACTCCGAATCACTTGATACTTCAGCGTCCGGGTGAAAGTTTTCCACCTGGTGTGTTCTCTAAAACCGACAACTATGTCAAAAGAAGATGGAGGCAAATTCAATATCTTGCTGATCTGTTTTGGAGCAGGTGGAGAAAAGAATATCTGCCTCTTCTGCAGAACCGCCAAAAATGGACAAAATCTGAAAGAAACATGCAGTTAGGTGATATCGTTCTTATTGCGGACAATGCACCGAGAAATTCGTGGAACATGGCTCGAGTGATTGAACTCATCAAAGACAAGAACAATGTAGTTAGAGTTGTTAAGGTAAAAACCTCAAACTCTGTGTTGATGAGACCAGTTGCGAAACTTTGTCTTCTTCTAGAATCAGACTGAAAATACTCACCGCTGCCACCAAACCTGTGTTGTTATGATAGACATGTGTTGAACATTTATGATATAATTGACCTTTGATTTTGTTTGAGTAATTGCGTTCTAGTTAAGAACCCAATTTAGGGGCTGGTATGTAAAGGCCAATTTCCTGTTTAGAATTGTAACAAATTTCGTTTTGCAAATTTATTGATTTTTGATGAAACTTACCTAAGTACATCGGTCACTTTCCCCTGTATATATATTTCCCTGAAAACTGAGAATGGGTCACGACAATTTTGAGCCCTTTAATTTTGAATTATTTAGAAATATCAGAGTCTAACAAATAAGGTACGTTATTTTCTACATATATTCTATGCATTTTGTGATAATATGAAAGTAAATTTAGCTATTTCAATGCCATTAATATGAACTTGAGACAATGACAAAATATTGCCAATCGGATAATTGTTTACTTTCGAAATATGAACTTTATTCATAACTTGTGTAAATCCTAGATGTTGCAATGACTGTTTTCTATATTTTCACACCTATGTTTATATTTTTGTGTATGTTTTGAACATTGTAATTGGTACAAATCTCATGATGATTGCATTTTCTTTGTAGTCAATCTCATCTCACCTGTTTATACTTTGGATCCAGTAACTTGGAATATTTTTGGAATAAACTTGAGGTGTGAATTGTGTTATATTCATTTCGACTGATATTAGCGGGATATAATTAGTATGGGAAGGGTCTAGAATGTTACATTTCCTAATACCAACTTTGAGTGAACACGACCTAGAAAAGTCACATTGAGGAAATAAATGCCTGAAAATTTTATCTCAACATAACTTCACATTAGGTTTTATTTCACTTGATTTTTTTTAATGCATTACGAAGAAAAATAAGTATTATTGCGTCTTTGCGAAAACAAAATTTTTGGTGAACATAAAGTAAACTCTTACTAGTTTTTTCATCTCTCACCGAACCACAACTAAAATTTCAAATGGTTAGGGCCTAAAACTGATTAATGCATTTTCACTATTGTTAATCAAAAAGGCTTACTGTGGATGCAGGTTGTTGAGAAGTATGGGCATGTTCCATGCATAACTCTTTGTGGTCTTCCTTTTTGTCATTTCTCACCAATTTATGACACACGTCACAATATGACTGCCAGTTCTTCCTTGGACAAGTACGCTCATGAGTTCCCCATGTTGATCTGTAGGACATGTACGAAAATATTAATAAGACTCCTTGAAGTTTAACATACATGTATAACAAGAATGCATTTTCATAAAGATTTGATTGCTTGTGTGAAGATTTGATTGTTTCCTTTTCTATTTCTAGTTTCATTGGCATGTAAGAGTTAACCTGTTTTTTTGCTTGCACTTCATACCACGTGCTATATCGACGTCAGTTTGCTTTGCAATCTTTGACTTTAAGCTAGATAAAATAGTATAAGTGTTCTCAATATGACCATTGAACAATAAACGAACAATTGACCAGACACATTTTGCAACAGTCAACCTGTGGTCAAACAGTTAAACTTATTAAATTAAAAGTTACATGATACCATAGTACTGTCAACCCTTCCGAAGCATTAGATATGATATACTGACCGACTTTAGAAACGCAACACTAGATTATTCTTTTTAATTCCCATTTTCAAATATTCAATGTTTGTTAAACAAATGTATGAACTTAAATGTCATTCATTACTTCATTGTTTAAAAAAAAAATGCAGTTCGAAAGTTGAATTGGTTACATCATTTTTAATGTTCAAATCATGTGGTATGCACTGAAACCCTGGTTTTCCCCTTACCAATGGATGTGTCACCGTCGAAAGCAATGACTGCCTGTAACCAACGCCAAAGTGATTGTCCGAAAGGTCAACCAATTCTGTTCGGCATGTTTTGGGTTCTGTTTTGCACCTTCTAATTTTGCCTTTGTCCCACCCATTACAGTGTGTTTTGGCAACTATGCGGTTGAAACTTAAGGCTTTAAATGTTTTTCTGCAGTCGATTCTTTAGCATTTCAGTTTATAGGAAACATTTATGGCATGAATCTGTGTGCCATGGCATTTGGCAATTTGATTAGGAGTTGACGTTGATGCCGTAAACATGTCTCGCAAATGACGTTGCGTAATCAAATTCTATTGACGTGTAATTGTCACTACATATTGATCTGGTCATTGATGGTCATCAACAAATCCCGTCTGCATGTATTGTTGTTGGAAGGACAGTAAGACGAGTTTCGGACGTCAAACTGTCTGGTTACAGCACGTTCACGTTTTCCTGTCTGCAATATTCTTATGGGCTGATTCAGTTTTTTATTGCTCAGACTTGGCAATACGGAGATGCAACATTGTTTAACTGATTTAAGTGTTGGTATGGATTGAAAGAGTTGTTTCACGAAGAAAAAAAAATGAAAAAAATCATTTATGGGTTCCAAATTTCTCTTTAAGAAATTCGTGCGACTTCAATAATCCGGTATGTTCAATAACCACAGGTAAGTCAGATGTTGATTTTTCCTAAACAGATCGAAGTATGGTAAGCATGAATAGTAGTTGTATGAGGACCAAACATGATTTGGTAAAAAAAATCAACAAAATGAGTGTTGCGTTTTTAAAGTCAGTCAGTATATATAGTCGTGTTATTTGTGTTTTAGTCATCTGTGTGTATTCTTTTCATTTCGGTCATGGCCTTGATTTTTTCTTAGATAACCGTTGATGATAAAAAAAAACTTTACCCAGGAACCATCATTCCACATAATGGACATGCCTTCTTCGTCTGACAGGTTTTTAAGTGGGAATCAAGTTTCTTGAAAGGCAATTTTCTCCCACAAAACTCACACTGTGACATTCGAAATGGACATGATGCTGTATGAATTTGTATATTAATTCGTTTATCTCTGGTTTTACATCCCCTTTCAGAATTTGCACAACTGATATTTGCGTGTAAGCATGTTGACCTGTGTTGTAACATTTTGTATCTTGTCATTGTTAAACCACAACCAATGTTTGGGTAAGAGAGTTCCGCCATTAAACAAGCGTCCAAGTGAAAAGGCTCTTCCTCACGAAGCATCGTCTTTTTACAAAGCTTGCATTTTGTTTCAGACTTCGCACAATACTTTTCATGTTCACGTAAATCTTTTTTCATCATGGCTTGACCACATTTATTGCAAAGTAATGAAGCAAACAAGCAGGTATCTGAATGTTTGAAGGCGTCTTTTTCTGTAAGTCGTTGGTCACAGCCAAAATGGTGGTTTGGGCAAAGAATGGAGCGATGTTGACATTTTAACAAGTGTTGTTCTATTCGACATCTTAGGATTTTCTCTCAACATCCAACTGATAGACAAGTTATATAGGTAAGTGGACATTCCTCGACATGTTTATCGACACACCATTTCGGGAGGAATGTCTTGCGAGCTTTGTTTGGACAATTGATTGGTCTATATCTGAATATTTGTACATGCCTTATAAATCTGGTGAATTCTCAACCACTGCAAGCAAATGAACAATGGCCGTACCGGCAGTTTAGAAAGCAGTGTTTTAATACACCTGTTAATCGCCACAGTTGAAATGGATTGATTTTGTGTGTTGACTGATCAGATGCCTTCTTTTTCAATGCTGATTTTTTTTAACTTTTTCAACAATATTCCGTGTCCACGTCAGTGTTTTTATACCATTCCATCTAATTCGTCTAAACTTTGGTGGTGGTTCTATAATAGAATAAAATAATATTTAATACGAAACGTGATACAATATATAAATAACACATAGCTGAGATGGTGATAGAACAGATTGTTACCCCGAGAAAACATTGTCAACAGCGGCGAAGCTAAGGTTGACAATGCTTTTTCGAGGGGTACCCTCTCAGCTATGTGTTATTTAATTTATTATACTGAATGTCCTATCATTATTATCTTTTACGGATGAATTTTATTTAAAAGTATTTTCTATGGCGTCACGTACATAACAACGTTACGAGTATTAGAAAAATCAACAGAAATGAAGCAAGATGTTTTATTTCAAATAATAGAATCTGAGCCAAAACGTAGAACTTAAGCATTGTCTTTAATAACTTGATGTAAATTCAATTTATTGTCCTTTAAAGTATCGATTTTTGATTGGTCTGGACGAGAGGGTGACATTCAAAAAAATTGTCACCCGCTCAGCCATGTAATAGAGTAAATTAACACCCTCGTATTAGCCAATCAAAATATGGCATTTTAACGTGAAGTATAATAAAAGGGTTTAAACTCCTTAACAATCGGAATACAAAATTTCCGTTAGTACTTGCTTGAAAATTTTAGATGGAAATCGTTAAGCAAGAATCACTAAAAACTTTAAACCTACTTAAGCTGACTACCCCAGCATTCAATAAAAATTACAACAGGATTCGAGTTCAATCTTTTCAAGAATAATTCAACGATGTACATTTAACTAGCAAAACTTGATCATAGTAAATTGATCGTCTTTTAATCGACGAAGCCTAAGAAGGTAAATGTTGATTTAATTGTTCGTCGCCATATAACGTTGTTTTAGATAAGTACTGATGGACAAAACCCTGTACTAGCTGCAGTAAAAAAGATGTTTTTCGTTGAGTTGTAGTTAAGCAAAGAAACAAAGCGCTCAAATATCAAGGACAATTCAAGATCACAATATCTAACAAAACAAAATATTAAATAACGAGCTTCAAAACTTGTTTGGCACTTGTATTGAACGGGCCGGATTGGACTAAGTCGTGCGAGCTGGCTTCGGTTTATCGAGAGAAATGATCGTGAAAGAATACTTAACGGTGGTCAAATATTACGATTGGATCGTGAAAGCTCTGGTATAGGATCGTGAATTCAATCTTATCAAGAAGACATATGCTATTACTAATCTAGTATGATGAATTATACGAACAAATTTACAAAAAAATAAAACTGTCTGTCAAAATGGTTCAACATAATGATAAGTATCAGAGAAAAATCAAGGTTTAAAATTCAACAGTTCTTACAAAACTACAAAAGGCAGATTGCTTCTCGACATTTCAATGACATTAAAAATGTAACCAAACAAGATTTTTTTCATAACTCGAATGACTAAACAACTTTTCGATGAAAAATGATCTACCATTTTAATGATTCAAATGGTTCTTACAGTTATTTTGTGTTAGCATTATCAGAAATTTTGTAAAAATGGAAATATTTACAAAACGTTAATTTTTTTTTATCGTAAAAGATCGTGTACCGCTTTTGAAGATCGTGAAAAGGATCGTGAAAGATCTGATGCTACGAAAACGTTCAACTCATTATTTAATTATATGGTAATTTCTATTTTTAATTGGTATAGCAAATATTGGATTTGCATGACTCATTCAGTTTCTCTTTTGTTGGCGAATAGGGCTATAATCGTTCAATGCCATTGGATCTGATTAAGGTATCTTATACATGTAATACCCAACCGACTAGGTGCCTTATAGCAAAATCAGTTCTAATTTCCGTCCTTCATAAGTTTTGATTTCTTAAACAAATTTAAGATTGAGAATAGAACCTAATCGGCTACATTACAGTTTAAGCTGGGCATCATGCACAATCGATCGCGAGGTACGTTGATTGGTAATATCCCCACTAAATTGGTACAATGACGTATAACTATTGTGAACAGACTTGTCAAACAATCGAGTATAAATAACGTTATCTTGGTACCTTTTTGTTTTATGTCAGCGCAGCCACGAAATAAACAA